ACTGCAACTTGGTTTTCTAATTTTGCACATCTCCAAATTGTCAATCGCTCACATTTTTGGTTTATCTCCCACCTTTTTTTTCCTGAGAAGTGATGATTGGGCACTAGAAGTTCTTGCGGTGTGGCTCGTGTGTGTCCTGTCTCCTCCGGTGTCATGTTTTCATTTTATTGTGCATTATTGAAGAGTGAGTGTGCAGAGTGGAGACACAGTGTGTCAGGAGGAGTGTTTTTTAGTTACTGCCGGTGTCTGGTGACATAAACAGCAGGATGTTAGTTATGATAAGGGTGGAGTGAAAAGTATCAAGGATGTACTACGCACAGAGGAGGGCAGCTGCCAATATTTACTTTTTAATACAGTTGTACTTCCTAGGATAATTTTCAAACATGACATTTTTACTCCTACTTGAGTAAAATATTGGACACATCTAAAGTTTTGGTTATTCTTTCTGAATGGTTACTTGTCTAGATGGTAAATGGTCATCACTCATTCACACACACATTCACACACACACTCACACACCAGTGTACGCAGACCCTGGTGTGTGAAAAAGCAGGTTAAGTGTCTTGCCCAAGGACACAACGACAGCATTCATCTGTGAGAACTGGAATCACACCGCCAACCTGTGGATTTGACCACTCAACCAATAATATTAATATAATATGATAATATTGAAATATCAATATATTGTATCGCCTAATGTGATGATACAGTATCGATACCGTGGGCTGCTGTATCGATATATCACCAACAATGTTTTTTACTAAATTATTTTGTTACAGCTACAGTTTTGTTGTTTGTTCAGAGGAAGGAAACTTCACATTAGACATTTTCACTGTTTTGTGTTTCATATGAACTTTGCACAAGAAGTGGTTTAACAAAGACTTTTAGTATCACAGCCACGATTTATCCTTTTGTATGACAGCATATTGTATTGAATTGTACTGAATCGTAATCAAATTGAATCTGCACTGGAAAAAAGCTATATCTATGTAAGTTAAAATGACTTCAGTTAAGAACATTTGACTTTATTGAGTTGATTCAACTTGACAAATAAAATTAACTGCCAAACTGCCAATGGAATAAGTGCAACATTAGATTCTTTTTAGATTTCTTATTTTAAGTGCAAAAAGTTGTTTTTCTTATTTTAAGTGTAGCAAGATGTATTTTCATAGTTTAAGTACAAAAAGTTTTGTTCCACTGGTAGATCATAATTTACTCAAATCATCATAAAACTTTCTTAACTGAAGTCATCTTAACTTTGTTTGTTTTTTTGCAGTGTATCAAGATATGTATCGAGGTTTGTATTGTATTAGCAACTTCTGAATGATACTCAGGCCTAGTCGAGAGCGAGATTCCATCAACCTTCAGATCAGTGGACAAACTAACTAGTCCAGGTCCTGTGGCTTTCACTGATGCTACAGAAATCTGCAATATTGTTCTTTTTTCCTCATAAGGTGCCACATTTGTTTCGATACAGAAGGACCACGCCAGTCCCTGATTGGCTAATCCACTTGTCAAACATGTCCATCTGAACTCATCTTCATAAAGTCTTGAAGAAGAATGAATTCTGGATCCGAGGCAACACAAGTTCAAGTCGAAATCCTCTTGACCGAAAGTCCTGTTCCTGCCCTCACAAACTCACAAACTCACAAACTCACAAACTCACAAGTCTGAGTGGATTCCTCAGTGAGCTTCAGTGTCACACCAGAATCCAGTCTCCAGTCTCACTAGTGACTTGGAAAACCTCAAGTGCAAGTAGTACATCTGCAGTGGAGTAAAACCAAAATAGAAATAGAAGCGAGCGGTGAGATGTGTTGGTACAGAGAACACGAGCAGACTGTGGCCTCATTCACACTTCACAAGGTGTTACATCAAACTTTTGTTCATTTGCAGCTGAGAAGAACTGTGTGTGCAAAATGAGTGTTTCGATAAATACAATATGACATGCAATATAATTTCACAGCACACCAGGCGCATGCTACTTTGACATTTCTTTCTTTCTTTTTTTTTTTTCTTTAACGCCACATACCCCGTCTTGCCACAGATAGCAGGATGTTTGAAAGAGGAGTGTAAGAATAACTCCATTAACAATAACACATTCATGCACAATTGACTTTTTGAGCTTGTTTTAAGTTTGTTTAGCATTGTTCCCTCATCAAAAATATAAACTACTCCATTTTCCAGGATTGTGATGTCACAGATAGAAGCCCAGCACCGTTTTTCACTCCACAAATCATCACTAGTCTCGTTCTAATGATTTACAACTGCATGTTGCTGTCAGTAGATGGTGACCTGAGCCAGGCCAGAGTAGAGGTCACAAAACCAGAAAACATTTGGAAACATGTAGTTGATGACTTCTGTTGGCGATAGTAACTCTGACAAAATCTGGGAAAACTGAGAAAATGGCCCAGTTTTCTTCAAGCTTTGACCACTGCTGCTGAATCCATGACACAAGCCCAGTGTTGGTCACTATACCGGAAGTCGTCATCCATGTGTTTCCAAACATCTTCTGACGAGTGTGAGTATAGGGCCTATAATGGCTGTTTCAATATAGGGTCAGTATTTTAAGTTCAAAGAAACATGAATCACTCAAATAAATGTACTCAAGAGCATGTTTAAGGGCCAGTAACAGTACAAAACATGCATATTTGTTCTTTAAAACTTATTGCTGCTGTCGTCCTTTTGTTATGTTTCTCCTTCTTTATGTAACAAACCTAAGATTCATTTATTCTGTAATGGAGCCTGCAGTGCAGAGTCCTGCACAACTCCATTTTTGAGACCCCCAGTACAGCACCGCACCCACGCAGTACAACACTGCACCTGTCCGTTAACCCGACACTATATCAAACTTTTGCACTGCCATGGACTGAACTAAGACTAAACCAAGACTAAACCAGAACTGAAACAGGACTCACTGTCGGGACGGGCACGGCGGGCCATCAACTCCTTATCAGGTTAAATGTATTTGTGTATTAACCAGTACAGTCGTGTAAACACTGTGCATCGCATCAGGAGCTTGGGGAACGACTCTTGATAGACTACGGAAAGTTTACAACTATGGAAGACAAATATGAAACACTTTACGACATCACAGGAACGTTTCAAGAACAACTTCTGAAGGAAGAGGCGTGTGGAGCAGATGACCAAAGTCAAATAGTGAGTAGTTTCATTAATGCAGTGCCGCAGATACGACTCATTATCGCTGCAAAGAATCGTTTCTCTTGTTGTCAATGTTTTGTATTGTGATTTAAAACATAATTCATCCAATCAACAATGAAAACATAAACTGTGCTGCACGAGTGACGTCGTTGATCATTGAGTCAGTACGAGCAGAGTACAGGCTGAAGTCTCTGAAGGACTGTGAGCCTCCTCATGTAAGTGAAGCTTCATTTACACATCTGCACTGACACGGCCCCTGGAGGACATCCACACACACAGATATGATACAGCGGGCACTCACACACACTCTAAACACAACGCCTGCCATCTAAAGGCTGCTACTCTTCTATACATTAGCTCGGGAAAGTGGAATAAAATTATCTCTAAATTAGACACACTAAGAACTGTCCAAGTGCCATCTGAAGCAGTTTGTGTACAACCTGCTCCAATGCATTTGAAATGAGAGTTAGCATTAGCCTCCAAACATCACAGACATAACAAATAATGGACCCAAAGTGCTTTACAAAGCACTCTTCATTCATTTCACACTCGGTGGTGGTAAGTTACTATTGTAGCCACAGCTGCCCTGGGACAGAAGCAAGGCTGCCAATCTGCACAATCAGCTCCTCCGACCACCACCATCACTCATGAACCAACCACATTCATACAAACCAGAGCTGTTTTAGTGACTGACAACCACCCGAGCACACGAGAGTAACACCAGCTCCGACACCATGCTAACAACCACGTGATAGTAATAATAATAATAATAATGATAATAATAATAAAATTATTAAAGGTGGATTGTGTAACTTTTCTGGTGGAAGGTCTGTCAAATGCTTTTCTTCATGGAGATGTTATCACTTTGTCTTTGTCCACATGTTCATTTTGTCCCGTCTAGGCTATTGCAACTCTTTTCTCTTCGGCCTCAAATCAAAATCCATCTCCCATCTGCAACTGGTTCTCTGGCTCCCGTGTGTTTTAGAATTAATTTAAAGATTTTACTGATCACTTTTAAAGCTCATTTAGGTCTTGCACCAAGTTACATTTCAGAACTTTGAACCCCATCCGAGCCTCCCATCCTCAGGCAGGTCCCTGTGGCTGTTCCAAAGTCCAGGCTCCAGACGAAGATGATTGAGCCTTTTCACTCCATTTTTATCAGCTGTTCTTCCTTTAACTAGTTTTACCTTGATTTTATACCTTATTTCTTTTTATTCTATTTCTTCTTATTTATTTATTGTAATGAATTGAATTGTTTTCATCATTATCTGTTTTTGTATGTCTTCTGTGTGCTTTTTTTTATGCTTTTTTGTTGCTTTTTTATGCTCTTTGTGGATCGTAAACCTTGTTTTTAAAAGTGCTTTATAAATAAAGGCCTGGAATGTTGGTGTTAAACCTTTCTATCTTCATGGAGACCAAACCAGACCAAGTTACACGTCAGATCTGTGGAGAGACGACCTCACTCACAGTCAGAATGTCTGCTTTTCTAGGTATTTTTGAGTGATAATATTTTGACCTGTAATTGAATAAATGTAAAGCAGAGCTGTTTAATGTCACACTGTGGAACATTCCAGGCAAAGCAAAGATGTATCCATAGAAACAAGGAGATAACAGACCCCCAACCAAAAGCTTACAGAATGCACCTTTAAATATGTTACGCTGACCAATAATCCACCAAAACTATTCAGATGAATGGTGTTGAATCATACCAGTACCGCTCTGTGTGTAGCTATTCTAAACACATCACTTCTAGAAGATTCCGTGTGAAGTGGAAGAGACGGGCCTCGGCGGGCCTCGGCGGGCCTCGGCGGGCCTCGGCGGGCCTCGGTGGGCACACTTACCCAGCACGCCCAGTCTGTAGTTGAGGGTGACCACGATGACGTTGCCATAGGCTGCGAGCACGCTGGCGTCGAACATGTTCCCCGTGCCCTCCATGTACGAACCCCCGTGGAGGAACATCATGACGGGCTTCTTACGCCGATCGCGGATATCTGCAGAAAAACAGAGCAGAAGGTCAGCGCACAAGTCATCTTACACAAGGACGAGGACAAGGGACTACACTGACCATGATGCTTTGCTCCGCTTTGCAATATTTAATACAGTGCAACATTTTGACTGAGTGCAATATTTGACACAGTGCAATATTTAACACAGTGCAATATTTAACACAGCGCAATATTTAACACAGCACAATATTTTGACTGAGTGCAATATTTAATACAGTGCAATATTTAACACAGCGCAATATTTAACACAGTGCAATATTTAATACAGTGCAATATTTAACACAGCGCAATATTTAACACAGTGCAATATTTTGACTGAGTGCAATATTTAACACAGTGCAATATTTTGACTGAGTGCAATATTTAACACAGCGCAATGTTATGACTGAGTGTAATATTTAATGCAGCGCAATATTTAATACAGTACAATATTTAACACAGTGCAATATTTAACACAGTGCAATATTTAACACAGCGCAATGTTATGACTGAGTGTAATATTTAATGCAGCGCAATATTTAATACAGTGCAATATTTAACACAGTGCAATATTTAACACAGTGCAATATTTAACACAGTGCAATATTTAACACAGCGCAATGTTATGACTGAGTGCAATATTTAATGCAGCGCAATATTTAATACAGTGCAATATTTAACAATGTGCAATATTTAACAATGTGCAATATTTAATACAGTGCAATATTTTGACTGCAATAGTACTTATTTATTCTATTTTTCAGTTTTTGTGTGTTTATTGTTTACTGTGTTGTAAGTACAGTATGTCTGCACTGGAGAGTGAGTTGCTTTGAATCTCGTGCATGTGTATAATGTGGATTGTATATGTATATAGTGACAATAAAAGGCAGTCTATTCTATTTGTGACAGGGGTTGCCATAGTGAATCAGTTGTATAGAAGTATCCCGTTGAAATGAGTCTCACTGACTTATTGAGTGTGAATTCAAAGTACAGTGTCACTACTTCTCATGGCCCAGAGGACTGAACAGACGTCCTTCTAGTTAATGGTCGAATAATATCGGTGACTAAATAAAATGTGACAATAATGTTTGTATGAACTCATTAGGCATCGCTGTAAACTGTATCACATCCCCATTGACTGTGCATATTACAGACATTGTCTCATTATTCCACCCGACTATAATGTCACAATCTCATAAAATGGCTGCCACTGGATATTCCTAAAAAGGGCAGCGGGGCATTAGAGACGGTCCACTGGGGGCAGAGTGCTTTGCCGCCATAGACTGTACATATAAATGGACACAGCTAACCCACTTGCTGCCATGTTCCAAATAGGAAATAAGCATGAGTGCACTTCTGGCTCCAAATGACTTTATACTGAAAAGTGGTCATCCCTCTCTCTGTAACTGCTGCTGTGAGATTCTTCATTTTGGTCTTAAATGTTTTTATTTAGCTTTTTTGTCCGAAAATAATTTCCTATGCCTAATGTGGAACTTTGTACAAAATATGCCCCTGTAACGCCCTTAAAGGGCCCATCTCATGTAAAATAACTCTTTTCACATTGTATCTTCTGCACATAAACAAGCACATTTTGGGTTTTGGAACATCCATTACACAATAGTTCTGAAATTTTACTGATTTCTTGGAGACAGTCACAGACCAGGAACTATGAAAGGCCGACTATTGCTCCTCCCCCCGCCCGTCCTGAGAAAGCACAGGCTCCGCCCTCCAAACGTGACGTAGTCTCTGAGTGAACCGCCCTTCCTTCGCCCATCTCAGGGAGGGAGGGGGAGACAGACGTGCACCCTGATAGTGGTAGGAATAAACTTTTATTCATCATGGAGATACAGCGTGTTCAGCCGCATGTGTTGGACCCGGAATCGGACAAGGACTTTGAGGAGCACGAAGCTCAAGCACCGCGTCCACATCAGCTGAACATTACTGATTGGTAAAGTATTAATAAACACTAGTAGATCAACTTATTATATCATGTTCACTGCAGTGGAGAACAACGAGCTTATGCTGTCGCTTTTGTTTAGGTGTTCACATGGGAATTGTCAGCCGATGTGGGGTGGAGGTGAGGTGGAGGCGGTGGAGGGAGGCGGGTGTGAAGCACTTTCTGCTACGTCAAACGTTGCCACATCATCGTTGCCACGTCATAGCAGGTGTAGTTCGTTGTCATGTGGGAGGGTGGCAGAAATACGCAGTAATTTGTAAAAAAAAAAAAAAAACGCAGAATCAATCTAAAAAAAACACTTGGGTGACAAATACAAGGCCCACACATCACTCTTAGAAGGCAGAAAGCTCTGAAAAGTTGATTTTGCATGAGATGGGCCCTTTAATCCCCGTCTTTATACAGTCGATGGTCCAGTCCAGCGAGAGCCATCAATCAGTATTGCCTCATTAGATATGCAAAAACTTTAAGCCTGTTCACAAATGTCCCCCTCACAGTTGTCAAAGCTATAACAAAGAGTATGAGACCAGACGTCTTTTGAACCAGGCCCTAAAGTGGTTTGGACAAGTGCAAAGACACCATGGGATTTCATTGTGCACTGTTGGACTGGGAGCCAGACCGAACAGCCGGCAGCAGCTTGTACTCAATAAAGTACTGTTACTTCAAAAAATATTACTGAAGTAGAAGTACAGAGTAAGTTTCTATGGTGCACTATGGATGTCCGTCACCTGCTTGTTTCTAAGGTAATGCCATTGCTCTGTCTGGAATGTTCCACAGTGTGACATTAAAGAGCTCTGCCTTACATTTATCCAATTACTGATGGTTTTATAGCTCAAAAATACCTCGAAAAACAGATATTCAGGTAGAGCGTTTCTAACAGTTCACCAAATGCTACTGGTGCCTTTTTCACATAAATCTTCTTTCCTCAAAATCAGGATCTAAAGTGAAGGTCAGAACTTTAAATTTCCATCTCAGTGGAAGTTTGTGAAATCTCTGAGGTGACTGACTTGGGAGCCTGGATATTTTTGGTCTAATACTGCACTCCCACATTGGAAAAACACGGAGATCTCACAGATGTGACTAGAAACTTGGTCTGGTTTGGTCTCCATGAAGATAGAAAGGTTTAATGTGGAATATTCAAGACAAAGTAGTAACATTTCCATGAAGAAAGGCATTTGATGGACACTCCACCAGAAAAGTTACACAATGCACTTTTAAATGATTGTTAAAAATAATAATAAAAAAGGATTTGGTGAAACTAATAGTCGAATCGTGAAAAAAAAAATTATCTCACAATTCCTGTATTCTGCTGCACTTTTTTTTTTTTTTATCTTTTGTTGCCAGTAATAATCATCCCCACATAAAACTGTACATACAACAACTAACAACTATACATACAGCAACTTATACTGTACAAGACCAATAGAGTTCAGGAGGGTTTTTTTTTTTTTGTAAAAAAATAAAACTAAAGGCCGCCACACAGGATTTTTCAGTCTTAAATTATTTTTAAATGTGTGACAAAAAGCGCAAACCACAGACACGAAAAGAATCTTATGAGACTTAAAATCCGATTGCATCAGCTGTTTCCTGTCTACAGTAAAACCAGTCGCTCTGAGACTCTTAAGTGTTCAAAGATCAGACTCTGCACTTCTAGTTTAGATACAAGTCAAAACTGTGTGATTATTATTTGTGATTTTACAGTATAAAAGATTGGAGATAAAGTCCACAGGAAGTAGAGTCACTGTCACTAATCTGATCTGTGCGCTGTGTGGATGTAAACAGACACACACGAGGAACAGTGTTGGGAGTAAATTGTTATAAAACTAACAAATTACTGTAATGCTTTGCTTTTTGCTGTAATGCAGTAATGTGGCATTACAGGTAAAAAATAAAATATTTTACTTGGTACAAATGTGAGTAACGCTCGTTACAATGCATTTTTAACCTGGATTGAAGTAGTGGCTTTTTCTTCATACAAATTTGCTAAAATCACTGCGATATCAGCAGTAGTGAAACGCCAGAGACGTGCCCGTGTAGACTGTCGGGTGACCACGAGCAAAAGAACCGGCGCAGAACTCGGCGCTCCACGAGGCTAAACACAGCTGACGCCCCATCGCTTCCAAGATTAGTCCTGGTTTGGTCCTGGATTAGACCTGGTTTAGTCCTGGTTTAGACCTAGTTTAGTCCTGGTTTAGTCCTTGGTTCAGTCTTGGTTTAGACCTGGTTCAGTTTTGGTTTAGTCCTGGTTCAGTCCATATACGGTGCAAAATTTCAGCATCTTCACAGTTCTTTTGGTGAGAGTAACTTAAAAGTGCTGTAATAGTAATGTAATGTTTTACATTTTAAATACAGTAATATTGTAATGTAACTAATTACTTTGAAATGACAGTAACAAGTCATAAATAACACATTACAGTTTTAAAGTCACTTACCCAACTTTTTACTTTCAAAGAACGTCTCAAACTGGATTAACAGTGCAGTTTTGTGGACTGGATGTCATTATTTGTGGAGAATAATTTCTATGGATAATGTGGATGAGATGCTGCACTTCTTCTCATTATTTTCGCTCTATCCCGAGTTTATCTCTGTGTCCGTCACTCCTCTGGCCCTGACGCTCTGTTTTATTGGCTGTTATCGTAGCGTTGCTGATGTTTGGTGGTTATGATCTGACAGCGACACCACACACACAAAGAGCTTCAAAATCGCACACAAGACACAAAGTCGGGTCACGCCTTCCCGAACTTGGGGAGAAGAAATCGCAGCCAAAATCAAGCAAATTCTCCTGTGGTGTGTGGCAGGTTTTAATCACACAGAACTGAAAACCAGCGTAGTAATATTTTGTGCACGTCCATGTATCTGAAATGAGTTGGTTCTCAGGTAGACATGACATAGAAGTATTGCCAAGATCCCATAGTGTCTGAGAAGTATTTTATTTGAAAGTACCTCGAGTACTTCAACTTCGTAGTGGTGAAAAAACAGTCATTTCTCCAGTACAGCTGAAGTGCTCTTATCCCTCCTGAACACCTGACCTACATCTACTATTATACCTCTC